GCAGAGACCTTGCATAAGTCCACGAACCCGACAAAAGATTAACTCTATTTAACTATTTTTATTTTTTTGTACCGTGAAAATGATGCCGGACTGTGGTGGCAGAACACTATTCAGGTTAGATGGACTGGCCATGCTAAATTGTCCAGTGTCCAGGGATGCGTCGGCTAGGTGGATTAGCCATGGGAAATGCAGGGATAGGGTGGGGCGGTGACTCTGAGTGGGATACTTTTCAGAGGATTGGTGGGGACTTGTTAAGCCAAATGGCCTGTCTCCATACTGTAGGGATTCAATGAATATCTAGGGGCATACATGCCAATAAATCAATCGTCCATTGATTAAGTTTTCTCTCCAAAGACACTGACAGATCTGCTGAGTTTCCCCAGCATTGTTTTTGTTGCCCATTCCAGTAAAGCTTATCTGAAGTTTCCAATGCATTCACTGTATAATATTGGTTTTACTTAAAATATAGTGTAATCTAGATGCAGTCTAGCAATGCTCTGTATAACTGAAGTATAACTTACCTACTTTTGCATTCAATTCCTCCCCTAAAACATTTTATCAGCTTTCTTAATTATTTGTTATAATTGCTTTTGTTACACCCACTGGGGTTCCAGACTGGAAATCAAGCCTCACCACTCCTGGAGTGCTCACAACAGTTAATTTTAAGTAGAGACAAAATAAAACTGCAGACGTTGGAATCCAAAGGCAGACAAACAAGAGGCTGGAAGAACACAGCAGGCCAGGCAACATCTAGAGGAAAAGGAGCAGTCAACGTTCCATGTATTACACCCTTTTTCAGGACTCAAATTTTAAGTAGTAGAATTCCACAATTTACCTGACATTTAAGCCCCAGGTTGACAGAAAGAATACATTTCTGTACTTAATTGCTTTTTTGTTTACAAATGGACTCTAGCTACAGGTAAACAATGAAGAACCATCAACATTTAATTCTACTTATCTAATCCCCTTCATGATACTCAGACTGGGAAACAAAACATGGGTGCTATAGGCAGAAGGACTGAGAAGGTAACTCAGTAGCCCCTGTACACAGGGTTTAGAGAGATGATTTGTGCTGATCAAAATGCTGCTTCTTGATCTTCCTTCTAGATGCTTTCACCAGTTTGCAGGAGGCACAGAGCGGCTGGTTCACACACACAAAAGTTTCTGACTAAATAATCACAAGTCGCAGCTTACAGCAACTGAAGGAAAAATAAACTGGCTTTCTTCTGCTGCAGAGAACACAGCTTGTGCATTAGGATTAAGGTTAGGGTTATGGCTTGTTCCCATCCCAAGCTGTTCAGCTACATGGGTGAAATCAAACTGGCCACTAATTCACAGACCAAATCAGCTACTTGTTGCTGGCTGAATCTCCATTTATAGAATAACAGGTCTACAGCACAGAAGAGATCCTTCAGTCCAACTCATCCATACCGACCAGATATCCTAAATTTACATCCTTTGGCTTCAGCTCATCTGCAAACTATATTCCAACTACTGCTTCAATAAGCAGCTGGGTAAAATGGCCTTGCTTTCCAATAAGTGCAATAACACCCAACAATCCTTGGTTCTTGAAAATAGTTCTTTTCTAATTTCAGTCCACAATTAAAATACAGACAAAAATATGATCTTTACATATGCAACTGCACTTCAGTGAGTGAGTCATCAGCACTGGCTCAGTTGGTAACACACTTTGGAATCAGGGGGTGCTGGGCCCATTCCAGGAATTGTTTCTTTTACTAGTGTTCTCAAGCACAGTACAGAGTGAGTGCCGCTCTGCTGGACATGGCGTCTTTTAGGTGAGACGTTAAGCAAGAGCCCCATCTGACTGCAAATGAATGCTAACAATCCCATGATACTTGTTCAAACAAGAGCAGGGGATCCCAGCCAATATTTATCCCTCAACCAACATCACAAAGGAATATATCAGGTCATTATTAATGTGTAAAATTATTCTGAGCGCCCTGGGCACTGTGATTCCTACATTACAATAGCAATTATTCAGCACAGACATATCTTTTAATACTGGATTAACAAAAATCTATTGTTCAGATTTAAAATCTGAGACTTGAACCAGCCCTAATAGCTGACTGCAGAAGACAGCACCAGTCTCGTTGCTGAGATCTGGTACAGCAGAATTCCTGACCAGTCTAGAGTTAGGGTCACAGATCAACTATGATCTTATCAAAAATCAAACCTGATTGCAGGAGTACAAGGGATATTCGGAGTAGGGAATAAAAGCTAGTGATGCTCACAAACTTGTACTTTGAATAACCTTCCACTGACCATGGCAGCTCAGTGGTTAGCACTGCTGCCTCTCAGTGCCAGGGACCCAGGTTCAACTCCACCCTCTGGCAACTGTCCATGTGGAGTTTGCACATTCTCCCAGTGTCTGCGTGGGTTTCCTCCAGGTGCTTTGGTTTCCTCCCACAGTCCAGAGATGTTCAGGCTAGGTGGATTGGACATGCTAAATTATCCATAGTGTCCAGGGATGTTTAGGTTAGGTGGGTTAGACATGGGAAATGCAGGGGTGGTATGAACTGGTTGGGCCGAATGACCTGTTTCCACACTGGAGGGACTGTATGACTCAAAATAACTGGCTCAGGGGGTTAAGTAGCCTGGCTCTTTCATTATCCAAGAGAAAGTTGACCTGATTGGAAAATCTAACTCACACCAGCTGCTCTGTGTTCATGTGCTGTGAAGAAGAAAAATAAACTTAATTCAAATCTGGCCTCATTTGACCAAGTGTGTACTCTATCTGCCTGCAGAGATTAATGCACAGGCACAAAGCATGTGAATATCCAGCTCAGGTCAAAATACAGTACCACTCACACCCCTGCAGTTATGCTCTTGCAGAGAGGTCTGCCATTCTCCTAAAATTCAGATTGCAGTGTCATCACTATGATAAATACAAGAGACTAAATTTACACAGGAGATGCATCAGAGAACACCTTCAATCCAACTGGTCCACGATGATTATACCTCACAAGCTTTCTTCCACCCACCGTCTCACCCTATCAGAATATCCTCCTATTCCTTTGCCTGTCTAGTCTTTCTTGTAAAATCTATGGTATTAGCCTCAACTATACCACATGGTAGAAAGTCTCTCAGCAAAAGGTTTTAAATATTTAAATTTCTTCACCTTAGAACATAGAATAGAACAGTACAACACACCAACAGCCCTTTGGCCCATGACTTCGTGCTGAACATAACATCAAATTAAACTAATCCCTTCTGCCTGTCTTTAGTCCATGCTCCTCCATTCTTTCGCATATTCGTGTACTTATCTAAAAGCACCTTAAACCCACCCCCCACCCTGTATGATATCTGCTTCCACCACCACTCCTGGCAGCATGTTCCAGACACGTACCACTCAGTTTAAAAAACAAATTTGCCTCATCTCCTTTGAACTTCCACCACCCTGTCACCTTAAATGCATGTCCCCTAGTATTAGACATTTCAAATCTAGGGGGAGAAAATCTGACTATCATATCTATGCATCTCAATTTTAGACTTCTATCAAGTCACCCCTCAGCCTCCTCCAGTCTAGAAAAAAAACCCTAGTTTTTCTAGCCTCTCCTTATAGCTCATACCCTCTAATCCAGGCAGCATGCTGGTAAACCTGTTCTGCACCCTCTCCAAAGCCTCCATGTCCTACCTGTAATGTGGCTACCAGAATTGAACACAATATTCCAAATGTGGCCTAACCAAAGTTTTATAAAGCTGCAACATGACATCCTGCCTCTTGTACTCAGTGCCCCAACCAATAAAGGCAAGGCTGCCATACACCTTCCTTACCACTATCTACTTTTTGCGGGCATTTTAAGGGAGCTATGGACTTGAACCCCAAAATCCCTTTGTTCAAAGCTGTTCAGGGCCCTGCCACTAACTGTATACTTTTCCTCAATATTTGATCTCCGAAAGTGCAGCACCTCACACTTGCCTAGATTAAACTCTATCTGCCATTTCTCCGCCCATATGAGCCATCCCTTTTGGACATTCCCAATAAGCAGAAACATCTGCTTCATATCAGCCCATTAAACCCCAACATAATTTGGCCCAGCCATCAATGCTATAATAACCTTGCTTCTACAATAAAAAGGAAAGAAATGGAGATGTTTTCCCATAGAAAGCATAATTCTGTTCTGACAAAGGGTCACTCAACTTGAAACATTAACTGTTTTTATCTCTACAACTGCCATCAGACCTGAACTACTTCAGCACTTTATTTCAGGTCTTCAGCATCCGCAGTTCTTGGTTAAAACAAAACAAAGACATCTGTCTCAATCTAGAACATTTTAACCCAATTGGATTAGAGTCAAGAAAGTACCCACTTAATTTACTTAAATTCACCTTTAACCATCGATCCAATTAGAAGCTATTTAAATGTTTAAACCAGATATCCAGAGCGATGTTCCAACTAGAAAAGACTGAATAGTCCTCCAAAAAAAACGTCAGTCCAGTATTGATGTGACAGTGATAACATGCAACATAAATGATTTGATAAAGACAACTTCTGCATCTTTTGGACCCAAGCCCCATACTGGATTAGCAAGGTGGCACAGGACGTTTAAAGAAAAATTGCAGTTCCTATTAGTTCATCTCTGACAAATGTTTTCCACCACAAAAAACTATCATGCCGTTTCAACCTGATAGAACTCGCCCCTAACAAAACATTTAGTAGGGTCAAATTCTATAACAGTACAGGTCCTCATTTCTCCTCAAGCCTTCAAAGTAGAAATTGCAGACAATGAAAATCTTGGCGTCAGCCTAGTTTAGGATTCCAAAATTCTTAGAGCTAGCAGGTTAAAAAAAGAGTTGTCCATTAAAGGGGGTTAGGATCAGGAAAAAGGAAGTACAGCAACAGGCTAGTGCTGGGAACTGCAAGGGGTCCGTATCAGGGAAGGGAACATCCTGTCATACCTACAGTGCAACAATCTGATGCACAATATCATTTTCAAAAACCTAAATTTGGAAAATAAAAAAAAGGCCAAAGAAACTGGTTTAGAGTTGGTTTAGTATAATATATTTCAGCTTTGAGAGAGACATAGAAATCAGCTTTCCACAGTTTTCCTATAAAAGACCCATTTTTCCAAAGCATTATGCACAAAACATTTTTAATTAGAATACAATTGTATAGTGAAAGTAAAAGTGATCTTGTAACTTCCCAATATAAAACGGAGCCACAATGACCAAAAGTAGATGTTAACTGTTGGGAGAAGTCCATTAGGGACCAATATGGACTAAAGATGTCAAAAACTATCCGTGAACTATTAGTGCTCGATAGGGAGAAGAGGTGCGATGATAAAAGGCCAATATGTAATCAACTCTTAATTTCACTTGCAACATCTACAACATTGGAAATGTGTCCATGCTTTTTTTTTGTATAATCATACAACTAAACTCATCATTAAATCCACATTGGCTATAACCACTATGCAAAAAGGTGAAAATACTGTCTGTTCAAGCGATGCACATGGCAAATTTCAGGAACAGTATGTGCAAACTGTCTTCTGGAGATCTCTTTTTAAATTGAAGATATAAAAACGGGTGAAGCCTCTTCAGATATGTTAATTTTTTTTTGAAATTGGAATGCTGGCACTTTCCAATTAGGCAACAGTTCTTCATACCTGTAAACAGCAAGGGAAAAAAAGTCTCAGAACCAGAAAGATATGCATTAAGTTTAATTGAGCATAAAATTACAAACATAAATACCATCTACTTTGGTAATCATAAGTCCTGTAGCTTCAAAGCTGAAATCTCTAAGTGAAACTAAAAAGTGGGAGGAGAGGGCCTCAAAAATATTTAAGAACATCTCTAATGTTCAGGGCAAATCACATTCAATATTTCCAAAGACCCTGGTCAAAAACTCAACTGCCTAAAAAGAATACATCAACAGCAGATCTGGGCTTCTAACAGGAATTTACCAAATCTCAGGTGGAGATGGTTAGCGGATGAAGGCTGTACAGGACTGGTTTCAGAGGAGCTGGCACATATATGGTGGAAAAAAATCTGTTAGGAATGTGCAGGAGTGGGAGTGTAGAATTTGAGAAGTTGGGGATTGAACAAGACTGCAACATTTTCTTCTGACCATGTACACTCCCATACAAAAAAATAATTCAGGAAAACTCCATCCATCCAAAGTGGTCAATGTCAGTCACCATATTATAAAATTGAAACAGGCACTAGAAAGGGCAAGGAATAGATTTAAAAGGATGACAGCAGAAACACAGGATATGCTAATCAGGTAAGGGTGTACCACCAGGTCTGGAAGTGACCTGAAAAAGGTATTTGAAAATTATGAAGAGTTTAGATAAGAGTGGATGCAGAGAGAATGTTTTACTTGTTGGGGAGAGAAAAATCAAAGGGCACAAAAATAAGACAAGTCATCAATAACTTTTAAAAAATTAAAAAGGGTGTCTTAAGCAGGAGGCATTAAGAATGTGGAACTACTACCACATGGAGTGGTTGAAGCTTAAAACTAAATACAGATGCATTGAGAGGGTCCTGATAAACACAAAAAAAGAGAGACAAATTACACTCAATTAGTTGTTGAAAGGAAGATTTAATTGGAGCATAAACACTAGCATACACGGTCTGGGTTGACCAGTCAATGATGTTTTTCTTCTCAAGTGGAGGCATGATAAATATACAGCACTGGTATAAGGAGTCAGTTGTGGTAGGACGAGTGACAACCAACATTCACTTTGCTCTTCACAGTAACTAAGATACAGGATGTGATCAGGGCGTTTACAAATTGTTGCATGTCAAAACAGATCTGTCTAACCTCATCACTAGATCAAACAAACCATCAGGCAATAAACAAGAATCAAAACTGAAAAGAAACAAAGCATAAGAAAACAAGTTAATTCTGAACCATCAAAATTGCAGTCATTAGGAATTTTACAACAATATGTACTTCACCAGGGTATGATAGTTGAGGTTACCATTTGAAATTACTATTCCTCCTGTTAAATAGTTCATGCAGTTACCAAGGTTCTCAAAAAGATCTCTTCTGGATGTGTCCAAAGGAATAGGGCAAAGGGCACTGTACATCATATGAACAGTCAAAGTTGACTATTCCTTAATGGTGTTGCAATACATTTTTCTCAAAGCACTAACTCAGTTATAGCTAAAAGTCTCAAGGTATGCAAAAAAGAAACTTTCAGCACATATCAAAGAGGACAGAACATGGCCCAAACCCATTAAAAAAATACACAATGCTATTCTACATTAGCCCCACTATATTAGGATCTCTGCACTCAAAGTTGTAGGTCAAAAACAATTCCATGCCCTGAGTGGGTGACTAGCAAGCATTGGCTAGGAGTGCCGGTCAGTCACTTTGGGAGGGGTGTTAAATTGCAATCCCCTAACCATCCAGCCTAGTGAATTACAACATTGAAAACTTGAAGCACAGCAGCTCAACCAACAGGGAAGGAATTAGTTTGCTAGCTGCTTGTGGGGTATTTATGCAGATAAATAACGTACAAGCCATTGAATTTGTAATGCGGTGACTACGTTACAAACAATTCCACATACGTGAAACACTCTGGGATTTGAACACAAGTAAAAAAGACATGGTTCATTGAGCCTGCTCTGCTGTTTAACAGAACCCTGGTTGATCCTGGGCTTATCTTAAATTTTTGCCCACTGCTCATTTGCCTCAATTCCATGAGGCATCAAAATCTGAACACATTTGAGCCTGGTATAGATTATGAAGTCTCTCATCCTGGAGTTAAAAAATTCTGTGGATTGGTGACCCTTGAGCGAAGCAATTCCTTCTCATCTCAGTCTTAAGTGACTGGTCTCACATCCTGAGAGTGCATTCATGCTTAGAGTCCCCGATCAGCAGAAACAGCTTCTTAGCATCTACCCACTCAAGCCCCTTCAGAAACTTGTATGCCTCAATGAGATCATCTTTCATACTTGTAACCTCAGAATAGAAGCCTAAGTTACTCAACCTTCAATCATAAGTCCCATCCTTGGGACTAAATTATTGAACCTCCACTACACTACCTCCAAAGCAAGTATACCCTTTACAAATAGAGACCAAAACTGCAGTTTTCCTTGATCTCATCAAAAGCCTGCACAATTTTTCCAAGACTTGTTTATTTCTACACTTCAATCCCTTGGGGGAAAAAAAAAAATAGGGCCAACATGCAATTTATCACCATAATTTCTTGATGAAACATTCCTGGCAGATGCAACATAAATCTGTCCTTTGGTACTTGAACAGAATTACAATTTTGAGATTAGATTTTGTCACAACTTGCCAGTATAAAAATTGAAGTGGCACCTCTTATGCCTCTCGTGTACTGCCTTCAGTACAGGAAATATAGTTAGTGCCAGCAAACCAAAAAAAAAAAAAAAAAAACTGAACACTAGTGTGAAATAGCACTGACCATTTTTACAGCCTCCTAATCTCCATCACTCTGACTCAATTAGAAAGAGATCATCATGGAAACCTACATCAAGCCAATCAGTATCTGGAAGCCAGATTACATTTCAAGGCAAGGGAGTTTCCTTCATTGGAACTGGTCAACTGCATTTTTAAGGCAGCACAACTTTTCATTGCACTGGATTTACACGTGAACTGTTAGCTGTTGATTCTGACCTTGGGACCCAAGGCTTGACTGTGGCAAAGTCAGCAGAGAGCCCATATCAACGAGAGTAATTACAACCAAAGCTGGGATCCAAAAGGTGGCACTGCCATATTTAAGCAGCAGTTGGCATTTCTACAGCATTCCCTATTGTAATAAACAATATTCTCAATCTCTTACCTGGCTCAGACCTGCTGCATAGCAGACATTTAAAGCAGCATACATTGGGATTTCTTCTTTTTACACTTTTCCACTGGTGCTTTCCTATTGATCTGTCTGACCAGATCATAAAAGATCTGCAGAATTAAAAAAAAAATAAACAATATTTTGAGCACAAATATTTGGAGAGAGATTTCACATGAAACACAAAAAGGGGTGTCGTGGTAGATGCACTTTGACAAAATAATAAAAACAATAGCTGCCACTTTAGGGGATAGCGAACTGCAGATGCTGGTGTCAGAGTCAATACAATGTGGAACTGGAGGAACACAGGTGGTCAGGCAGCAGAGGAGCAGGAAAGTCAATGTTTTGGGTTTACACCATTCATCACGACTCATGACAAAAGGGTGTAAAACCCAAAACGTT